TTATGATTTTAATGTTCTGAGCTGCCTGGAGGCCCAGCACTGGGATCGGCCAGCTCTCAATGGCAAGGACCACAACGCCAACACCGCACTGATGCTTTCTGCCAGTCAGGGGGGCTCATCCACATTTCTTCAGGCACTGCTGTTTCCCTTTGCTGGTTTCCACTGCTCCTTCCTCTGATCTCAATCCAGCTATGAGTAGTATAGCTGGATAATATCTGAGTGTATAACTCAGATATTAGAGTTATACTATACCTTCCATCCTTTCCAATGAACCCACAGGGGTTAAAACATTTTTCTTCCGCTACATGTTAGCAAAGCTCCCTTTCTGATCTCAGAAACAAAATAAAATGCTGCCTTCTTGGCCACCGTCACCGGAACATAGGCGCCGAGATCTTCTCCTTCTCTTGGTGGAGGTGGCTTCTCCTCAGAATGGGAAATGGGCAAGTCTTTCTGGGATGGAAAGTGGGACTAAGGGAGTTGAACAGTCAGCCTCCAAACTGATTAAAGCTTCTGCATCGATCTAAAAATTCCCAAGCCCAGATACCTAGAATTTTCGTGATATTCCTGTGTGGAATACCTGTAGTACCCCGATCAGGGTCCTGGGCCAGCAAGGTACATAAAGCAGGTATCACGGCCCATTCTGCAGACAGGAATGTCTGGTGCTACGGTTCTAGGCACATTTGGACAGAGAGAAATGCTACATCGCCCAGCCCGCCCCTGGAATCCATCACTCCATCCCCCTCGATGTCAAGAGGATTTCTCTGAGCCCGGACGAACTTGTCCCACTGGGCTTTAGAGAACTAATCCTGGCCAACATAGTTTTGATCCAAGGAAATATTCTCTCTGTGTGTGCTTTGAGGCCGTCTGCATTCGTTTGGGCTGCTTTGATGGAGGCCAGGGAGGCTGGGACCCCACATCGGGGGTAGTGGGTGCCAGTGCTCAGTCTGAATGCTGGCCTGGTCCCCACACTGCCAGAGCCCACCAGAATCAGGGGTGTTTAACCCTCCCAGGAGCCACACCTGCTGGGTTTTGGGGTGCTTGCTTATTGGGTTCCGAGCTCACATTGCGTCTGTGTCTTCAAATGGCCAGTAGGGGGCAGAAGAGTCATTGCCAATATCCATTCTGCACTCTCAGGCCACCCGTTCGTTTCCGCTAAGGGCTGTAACCAAAGCATCACCCAATTTTGGACAGGTCTCCTTCCCCGCCACCCAGAACCCCAAGATTCACCAAGCAGAATGAGGCGTAAAAGAGACAGGAAGGCTGCAGGCCTATTCAGTAGCCTTCTCTGAAGCAGTGCCTGCCAGTGGCTAGAAGTTCAAAACTTCCCAGCATGCACAGACAACGCATACAATGTACATGGTAGTCCACAATTCTGGAAGACACCAGGATGGGGAGGGCTGCTTCATCCATCTATCTGAGGTCAAGGCCCACCGAATTCAATAGGTCTCATTTCAGAATAGACAGCATAGGACCAGACTAGTACAAATACCGTTCTCAGCATTCAGAGCATCTTCTGAGCCTACGCATGAGTTTTCAATGCCAGAACTGGACTGACTTCACCTGATCTTGCACACAAAAGTTTGTCCAGCTGGAAAAATCTTCCTGTTTTTGCTTTTTTTTCTGAACCAGTGGGGAGTCAGTGGAAAGGGTTGTAGATTCACAGCACATCTTCCAGTGATCGCGATCAGCCTTCTCTAACCTCCTATTTTGGCAAAAACTCATCTCCAGTGGAGGCTGGTGGCCCCAGTCAGTGGGGTGGTGTATCCACTCTGGTTTGTCGGCAGAGCTTTAGGAGGAGCTATCTGTGGGACTAATAGGTCTGGCGCCCTGCATAGCTCCTCTGATATTCAGGCTGAAACCCAGGGTGAATATATCACACCACCCTCTTTGAGATACCAGCTGCTGGTCCCCTTGCTTCTTGGCTGCAATCTTGCTACACTCCCCACTTTTTGATCCATGCCATACATTATGGGTGACCTGGAGAGTCCCCCCCCCCCACTACCACCATCCTCTTGTTTGTTTTCCCCCAACCACACTTGCCTTCAAAGTAGAATAATATCCCCTTGCAGAGCTGACACCAAACAGATCTTCAAAAGAGAAACCCACAAGTGCTTTAACCAGCATCCGGAAAGGGAAGGAAAAGTCTTGTAAGGACCATCTGGCATTCGGCTGCAGAACATCTGTTTTTGGTAATAAGGTTCCCACAGCCTCCTGGATGAGCAGACTAATTGCTGAGGATTCATCTCAACCAAATCCAGATTGGGGTAGATTGGATGAAGAAGGGGGTCTCACACTGCTTTCCTATCAGGGGTGCTGTTCTCTGGTTCTGCTCCCCTTTGGGTTAGGGTCAAGAAACCCCAGGTTCCTGGGCCCAGAATTATCCTCTCTTGGGCATCCAAAGCAAGCAGTGCATAAGAACACCGAGTGGTGCTTCTTGCAGGTTGTCTGGATGAGAAGGGATTGTAGGGGAGGGTTACAGTTGGGGGGAAGCTTCAGGTTCAGGTTCTGGCTAGGAAATCCCCAGTCCTCTGCTTGTCCAGGGCCCTGAAGACAACCTATGTGGGCAAAGAAGGTGAGTCATGATCGTGAACTGAGTGACTGCATCGTCCATGCATTCCTTCGGAATAAATATGGGTTGTGGCTGGTGTAGGGGCTGCAGGGAAAATCTAGGGTCAGGTTGGGAATGGGTTCAGGTTAGGCAAACTTGGGGTCTCTCTGTCAGGATCATCTACTCAGTTACTCTGATGAAAATGAAAAAGTAGGAATTGTGGTAACGTGGATGCAAAAAAGGGTTCTCCGAGGACACTGTTCTGGATCGACTTGGGCTTCTTGGCCAAACCAACCTTAAGAATCTTAACGTTCATATCATTTCAGTCCTGGAATGAATCGATGCATCTCCCGAATCAATCGGAAAAGAAGTCAGTGATCCAAGCAAAATGGGATTCTGCTGGAAGAGCAGAAATATTTATTTATTTATTTAGAACATTTCTATGCTGCCCCATTCGCAAAAAGCCTCGGGGTGGCTTATAAAACAAATAAATAAGCAATCATACAAATAACCTTAAAAATCCAGAGACATCTCGGCATAAACATAAAAACCAATAAATAATCACAATCTACAATTAACAATTAAAATAACTTTTAAATAAAAAGGTCTTGGCCTGGCACCAAAAAACAAATAACAACGGTGCCAGGCGGACCTCTCTGGGGAGCGCATTCCATAGTTGGGGCGCCACTGCAGAGAAGGCCCTCCTCCGGGTTCTCACCCTCCTAATATCTTTCACAGAGGGTTCCCGGAGAAGGGCCTCTGCTGCTGATATCAAGGAGTGGGAGGGCATATATGGACGCAAGCGCTCCTTTAGCTAACCAGGTCCCAAGCCGTTGAGGGCTTTATAGGTGGTAACCAACACCTTGAATTGCGCCCAGACTTCAACGGGAAGCAAGTGAAGCTGACGGAGGACTTTGGGTATGTGAGAACAACGCCCAGTCCCCGTCAGCAACCTGGCAGCTCTATTTTGCATCAATTGAAGTATCCAGACCATCTTCAAGGGCAGCCCCACGTAGAGCACATTACAGAAATCTAATTGGGAAGCCACCGACGCGTGTGTCACTGTTGCCAGGCAATTGTTCTCCAGGTAGGGACGCAGCTGATGGATCAGCCGAAGCTGAAAGAAAGCGCTCCTTGCCACCGCTGTCACCTAAGCTTCTAACGACAGCTCTGGGTGGAAGAGCAGTCCCAAGCTGTGAACTCTGTCCCTCAGAGGGAGTGCAACCCCATTCAGGACAAGGTCCAGGTCCCCTCCCCCGAAGCCTGAACCACCTACCAACAGGACCTCCGTCTTGTCTGGATTGAGCTTCAATTTTGAGTCCAGGACTGCTCAGGGAGGCATTTGTGAGCTTAGGCCCGGTAAGGCCGCCATCCGAAGTGAAGACACAGTGAGAGGAAGCCCATTCAACTGTGTTGGGAGCATCACTGCTGAAGATTGGAATGGATTGGGCCCTGTACCAAAATGTGGCATCACGGTTGTGGCATTCTTGGTCAGGGCCCTCTTACAGGATACTCTGTCCCCTTGGCCCTCTCCTCCGGTCCTCCACCCTGATCGGCTGATGTTGGAACTTCCAATCTGATGCTGAGGCAAGACCTAATGGTGCCAAATGGAACCGAGCATCAGTTCTTAGAAGGGGGACGGTCAGCTTAGAACTTGTGCCTCCTCGTCTTAGCCTCCAGTGAGACTTGGACAGTATACAGGAGGCACGCTAGGCAACTGAACCACCTCCACACGACTTGCCTCCGCAGACTTTTGAAGATCTGGTGGCAGGACAAGGTGCCAGACACAGAGGTCCTCTCCAGAGCAGGCCTGCCATCAGTTCACACCCTGCTGATGAAAGCCCAGACACGCAGGGCAGGGCATGTTGCAAGGATGCCAGACCACCGCATCCCCAAACAGCTCTTCTATGGTGAGCTGTCTCAAGGAAAGCGATCGCATGGGTGACAAAAGAAGAGATACAAAGACACGCTGAAAGCCTCTCTCAAGTCCCTGGTTATCGACACCACCTCCTGGGAGACCCTGGCACAAGACCGATCGACATGGCGCACGCTGATCCACCAAGGCTGCCAAACTTCTGAAGCCAGAAGGACAACCATAGCACAAGAGAAGCGAGCACTCCGTAAAGCCAGAGTTGCAAACGCTGCAACAGTGGTGCCCACACATGTCTGCCTGACATGTGGCAGAACACTCCGTGCCGCACTGTGGACACACCGTGGACAACTCACAACACGTTAGATGTCAAGGTCCTCATTGAAAACGATGGACGGACATCATTCCTTCAGAGAGGTTAGACTGCAACGCTTCTGGGGCCAGATGTGGGGCCCCTTGCCATGCCCAGCCAGGCCTTCCCTGACAGCGCAAGCAGGAAAACCTGATATCGTCTTTGATCCTCGGAAGGCAAGAACAGGAAACCACACACGAGATGGTGCTTGTGCACAGCTCAGGAACGAAATGCATGCCTCGCAGTTGTCTGAGAAGCAAAGGATGGGGAGGCTGGTGAGAAGGATCACTGCCGCTTTGCTTCTGGTCGTCTGCACAGGTAGGGAAGGACGTGAGCAATGGGATCCCCCTGGACTGGTCATAGTCTGGGACTCTCTAAGGAGCGTGTGGCTTCGGTGGGACAGGAACCCCAACCGAGGCACAGAAGGGAGTCCCATGTCAACACAAGATCCTCCAGGCTGTAAGCCTCAGACTGGAGCTGATGGGCTTGTGTTGATTGTCCATCAGATTGTATCCATTGCCAAAACATACTCTGTCTGTCTGTCTGTCTGGCCATCTGACTTCTACTCATCTCCCTCTTTGGTCTCTCTTCCTTGCTAATTTCCTTCTGATTTTCTCTCCATTTCCTTCTGGAGGCTGGGCAAGCTGGCTGGGACCTCGCCGTTGCTTCTGCTTTCCTTCCAGGTGTTTCAGGCCAAGAAACCGTCAGCCAGGAGGACCAGCTTGTTTCTGTCAAGGAGGGAGAAGCCGTCCACCTCAAGTGTGTCTATCAGGGGAATTCAGGTGGCTTGCAGTGGTACAAGCAGACGCAAAGTGGCCTGATCCAGTTCAAGACTCAGCTCTTTGCCACTAGAACGGAATCTCATGGCCATTTCAATGTCAGCCTGGACCAAAGCGAGAAGATCTCCTTCTTCTCCCTGAATGGAGCCCGATTGGATGATTCTGCTGTCTACTTTTGTGCTTCTCTCCACAGTGCTACAAGGCTGCATCCTGCCCATCACAAAACCTGGAGGGCATCATGGAAGTTGTGCAGAAGCAGCTCTGGGCTCATACTGCCTCTGGGGCCCTCCTGAACTCAGACAGACTCATTGGCTTCTGCCATAGATGGAGCAAAACTCAATCCTTTGGCCACCTAATGAGAAGGAACAACTCAGTGGAGAAGACCCTGATGCTGAGAACGATGGACAGCAAAAGGAGAAGGGGGCAGCAGAAGATGAGGTGGCTAGATGGAGTCACTGGGGTGGTGGGTGGAGGACTGGGGTGGCTTGGCTGGACTCCGAGGGATGGTGGAGGACAGGAGAGCCTGGAGGAATGTTGTCCATGGGGTCGCAATGGGTCAGGCATGCCTTTGCAACTAAACAGCCTAGATGGAGATGCAAACCCGTGCAATGGCCCCTATGAAGAGCACCGAGAGCATCTTGTGTTGGTGCAAACACAACCAAGGCAGTTGGATCTGGGTGCCGGGCTCCCTTTCTGATGCAGAGTCCAGCAGCAAGCCTCAGCCATTTTCATATACACCCAAATGATGTGGAGCAAAACTGCTCCTCATCCCTAAGGACCACGGAGACAGAAGTTCCTCCTGAGAATTCCATTACTGGGATGCATCCAGCCCATTGCAAAACCCACCACAGGTGGCACAAGAAGAACAAATGCTTTGTAGAAGTTCAAAATCTGTACTGGAATCCATATACAGAATTTTAAAAAATTGATGTATGGAAATGTACTTGATGTGTCTGAAGGTAAATGTGTACAGAACAAACCTATGACTGTTTCTCTGTCTCTCTCTGTCTCTCTATTTCCCCCTTCCTTCTCCTCTTCTCTTTTTAAGGATATATAAATTCCACTGCACCCCTCATGGGAATATTGAAGAAAATGAACTAGAACCCACTAATTTCAATCTCCCTATTCACTTTAAAAATAAAAAACCACACATAGTAGATTTGCTTGAGTGGTTTATTTGGTTTAATCCAACCAAATTCTTTTCAGGAGAAGAACACAGTGGGCTGAATGCTTGAATAGAACGTAAAGAACTGATTAGATGTTTTTGTACCCATGGCGGCTTCTGCAGTATGGACATATTCTACCCACGGGGGCCTTCACCCCATCCTTGGAAGTGGGCCTTCGCCCCACAAGACATTAAGTGTGCCTTGCTCCAGGGTCCTCCATGAACTGGAGCCACCGCCGTCGTTGTTCTTATCATCACATTGATATCCCGCCTTTTCCTCTCTTGCAAGAAATCAGAGGTGGATTACAGGGTTTCCTTCTCCATTTGACCTGCACAACCACCCCGTGAGACAAGAGAGACAAGAGTCAGTGACTGGCCAAAAGTGGTGCAGTGAGTTTCACGGCCGAGCGCAGCAACTAGAATCCAGATCTCCCGAGTCCCCACTTAAGCACTCTGACCACTACTCCAGACTGCTCTTAGTGGTCATGGTTAATATTTTGATGCTGCGGATGGGTTGTATCAATATTGAGCCCTTCCCCCAAGGGGCTCATGGTGGCCTATACAATTCTCTCTGCTTTCCTCCACTTTGCCTTCACAACAGCCATGAGAAAGAACAAGAGAAACTAGTCCAAGGTCACCCTCTGAGATCCATGGTGAACTGGAAAGTGTGACATGAGCACCTCCTCATTCTAGTTTGAGACTCTGATGCTACCCAGAAATAAGTTCCATGGCTTGAGGAGGGCTTACTGCCAGGTGGTGAGTGCGGTTTTTGGTTTCGGTGGGAGGACGTGAGCTTCTTTTATCCTGAAGGCCAAATTCATTTTCAGAGAAGCTATCCTGGGCTGAAGGGACAGAGCTGAAGGTCACATCAATGGGGCCAAAGATCCTCCCCCAACATGCTACCAGCATCTTTTAACTTAGAACGTAGGAACTATGGCCTTTGGAGAAGAACGGGGAAGGAAGAGTGACCTGGCGAGAGGGGAAGGGGTGTGCCCTCCTGGGCAACCATGGCTGATGCTTCCAATGGCTGGGGCTGTTGTATCCACTCTGGATTTCAGCCTGAACTTTCCAGGAGCTGTTTGTGCTGCAGAACGTATTTTGAGGATAAGGTTCAGCACCATGAAAAGCTCAGGTTGAAACCTGACGTACCTCAAAGGCTGTCACAAAGAGGAAGGTCAAGATCTCTTCTTGCTAATGCCAGAGTGTAGGACATGGAATAATCAATTCAAGCTGCAACAACCCAGATTCAGGCTAGAGATCAGGAAAAGCTTCTTGACTGTCGGAGAAATACGACAGTGGGACCAGCTGCCTGGAGAGGTGGTGGGCTCTCCCACTCTAGAGACATTCAAACAGAAACTGGGCAGCCATCTGAGTAGGGTGGTGTAACGCGGTGTCCTGCAACAGCAGGGGGTTGGACTCGGTGGCCTTCATGGCCCCTTCCAACTCTGCTATTCTGTGATTCTATGAGCCTTTGTAGACGCATGCAGAGTGCCTCTTTCCCCACTAGGTGGTGCTGTCAAGACACACCAATGGTAGCCTCCTCATCCGATCCCCCAGGCCAGGCAGCTGCCTGGTCGCTGGAACAGCTGCCAACCTCCCCTGCATGCCAGTCAAAGTCTCTTGTGCTCATTCAGTCGCGCTTGTCTCAGGCTGGAGCTGCAGTAACCGTGCCCTGGAGAGCCGGGGCTCGCTCTCTCTCTGACTCACACAACCTGTACTTTTCACTCTGCGAAAAGGAGGAAAAAAGGAAGAAAATTCCCTCTCCACTTGGGTGCATATAAGAACTTCCCATTTCAGCCTGTCATAATGGCAATCCGGTCTGTCTCCATCATGCTGACACTTGCTTCGTTCGGTAAGTAGAACTTTTATTCCGGGCCTTCACGGGCTCCAGCAGCATTGCCTGCCGTGAATCTGGAAGTCCAATCCATGCCAAGAGTAGCTCCTGAGCAGAAAAGGGGTATTGCTTTGCTTTGCCTTACTTCATCCGAGGCCTGGAAGAAATGTCAGGTTCTGCATGCGAACATATTGCGGGAAACTACTCCAAAGATCAGATGTTGACCTTCGTTCATTCATACTTCTGTATGCTGGGAATCCTGTGAGTGCTGCATTTTTTAGAGATCAAAACGTAGGAAGAGGACTGGGTCTGGATCTCAAGACAACAGCAGTATACAAAGAAAATACTTCTTAAACATCGCAGTGATACAGATTTCAGTGTTTGAGGATCAAAAACTAGAAGTTGGGCCATTTTTGATAGATGAAGCAAGGAAAGAGGCAGAGTGGCTTAGAGTATCGTACAAGGACTCAGGAGATCTGGGTTCTAGTCTCCAACTTGGCCACCAAGATCATTGGACGGCTTTGGGCCAGTTATTATACCTCAACCTATCCTACCTCACGGACTGTTGTGAAGATGAATTGCAGGGAAGGAGGACAGTTATATAAGTTTCCTTGGGTTCGTTACGGTGGGGAGAGGGGGGAAGTACCTGCATATAGAGACAATCAATAGTGAAATCGTAGGTCTGTGCACATCTAAGAACCAGAAAAATTCCAGCTGATTTTCCCCAGTCTTGTTTTGTTTCCCAGGAGTCCTTCAGGGCAACGCTGAGATCATCCAAGGTCCTGTTGAGAAAGCTTCAGAACGACAGAAACTGGACCTCCAGTGCCAGCACCCCTCTGTTTCAACTGAAAATATACTTTGGTACCAGCAGCTTCCTGGACACGGCCCTCGATTCATTGTATCTGGATACCAGGGAGAGACAAGGAGCTCGGTTCTGGAAGGGGTTTCCTTGCATATCCCCGCAGACCGAAAGAGCAGCACCCTCTCCTTCGCCCGCGTCACCCTGGCAGATTCTGCACTGTACTTCTGTGCTCTGAGTGACACAGTGTTGCATCCTGCAGGCTCGGCTGTGCAGAAAGCTTCCTCTTCTGGCTCTCGGTTCCAGGGGAATCAGGAGCGGGCTGAGCTTCTGCTTCTTTCAGCCCTGATTAACTCGTCCCACTGATCTTCAGAGGACAAAACCCGGAATACGGTCCGGAGGCACAGAAGGCATCCACCAGAGCCAGTGTGGTGCAGTGGGTAAGAACATGGGAATGGGGCTCAGGCAGTCCGGGTTCTAGTCCCCATGCAACCGTGGAGCCAACTGGGTGAATTTGGGCCAGCCACAGCCTCTCAGCCTAGCCTACCTCACAGGGTTGTTGTAGTGGGGATAAGACGGAGCAGGAGAAGGAGGATGCAATCTTCCTTGAAGTCTAGGTAAAAAGGTGAGGGAGGGGGGTAGAAATCCAATAAATGAATAAATAATTAAAGTTGAAGCAAAGCCAGCCCGGGACTGGCCAGAGCATGGAGGGGAGACCACCAGAGAACTTCGTGTCGCCACCTTGAGTTTCACAACAGGAGAATCGTGAGGTGCAAATATTTATTTATTTATCGATTTATAGCCTGCCTTTTTCCTACAAAGGGCTCAAGGCAGCTTACATCATTCTCCTCCCCCATCTTATCCCTAGAACAACAACCCTGTGAGGTAGGCTGGGCTGGGAGTCTGTCACTGGCCCAGAGTCACCCAGTTGGCTCCATGGCCGAGCGGGGACTCGAACCCAGATTGTCTGAGTCCCAGTCCCACGCTCTCCACCATTACACCACACTGGCTCTCATAATATAATAAACAAACAAACCAGCAGTCCTGGTGATCATAGTCTCAGTCCAACCCAATATTCTGTCCATGCATGCGCTGAGATATTCTGCATTCAGTGTTCCGAGGGCTGCTTTGCACATCGCTGGCTCACTGGAGTCTGTGGTGAGCTGCAGCTTGTGGAAGGCTTTGTGGGGGCATCTTGCAGTGTAGGGGCTTTTCTGTCATAGTTCCATCTGAACATGAATCTGGTTCTTTGGCACTCAGAGTTTCCAGCCTTCTAAATGCTGCAAGGGTCACTTCTGTGTGGACTAAACAACAGGCTGGTTTGGGGCTCTGTGAAAAGATTTTTGACCCTCTCAGGAGCCACCCCTGCTGGGTTTCAGGCCGACTGGACTGTGGGGTGCCAGCGCTGTAGAACCTGAGCAATGCTACCCCGGGCCACCAGGGGGCAGCATTGCCATGGCAGATTTTCTGGCCGCCTTTCATTTTAACTAAGCGATTAAATTGTCGACATAAAAATGAACAAGTTATGTTAACCTCTCCTCTGTCCTTGCAACTTATTTCATTTTATCATGCAAACATGGATGGAGATCCAGCTTGTCAGATCTGCTTTTGCAATGAGAACCCCAAGATGCATCAAACAAAGTCAGCAGTGAAAGACACGGCAAGACTGCATTCTTTGACACAAGCATTCCCCAAATCTGAGCCCTTTGAGTGTGTAGGTCTTTTTTTTTTTTTTTGTTTAGTTGCAAAGGTGTGCTGGACCCATCACGACCCCATGGACAACATTCCTCCAGGCTCTCCTGTCCTCCACCATCCCCCAGAGTCCAACCAAGCTCATGCCCACCACCCCAGTGACCCCATCCAGCCACCTCATCCTCTGCTGTCCCCTTCTCCTTTCGCCATCTATTGTTCCCAGCATCAGGCTCTTCTCCAGGGAGTCCTTCCTTCTCATTAGGTGGCCAAAGTATTTGAGTTTCACCTTCAGGATCTGGCCTTCAGGGTTGATTTCCTTTAAGATTGACTGGTTCGATCTCTTTGGCTGGTTTATTCCCACCCAGTGTAGTCAACGTGAATTATGGAAATTGTAGTCCAAAACTACAGGGCGGGGAAGTCTGTTTAACACAATTGTCCTGCGGTGAGTGCCACTGAACTCAATAGGGCTTACAAAGAGATGTTATAGGGATGATAGACATTATAGGACTGCAGCAGTAGGAATAAGCATCATGGTACTTCAAAGCACTTTCTGAGCTGAAAAATAGGTTTTCAGCACCAGAACTGAATCACCTAATCCTTTCACACAAAGTTCACCCCTGGTTTCCCCAATCTCTCTTTATTCTCCAGCCTAGTTTGGCTGGTGGGAAAACATATTTCTGCTTTTGTTATTTTAAAACAGTTGGGATCCAGGAGAGAACCCTTGGAGAGCCACAGAAAAGCACCCAAAGATCTACCAGTAGATTGCAATCAGTCTTCTGTCCACCACTGTTTTGACCAATGTCAGCCTGTGGTGCATCCTCTTTGAAATCCTTGCACCACATAGATTCAGCACCCGGGACAGGTCTTTGTAAAGTTCAGACTAAAACCCGGAGTGGATACACACCCCACTGATATTGGGGCCCCTGGTGGCAGCCTCCCGTCTCTTCTTGGCTGCAAGTTTGTACCCTGTCCATTTGTTGATCCATGTCACAGATTATGGGTGGTCCTAAGAGTCTCCTCCCAAGACCACCACTCTCTCATTGGTTTTCCTCCAAACCACACTGACCTTCATGGTTTAGGGAGTTCAGAGGTATCTCCTTGCAGGGCTGACAGTGTACAGTTCTTGAGAAGAGAAAACCACGGGTGGTTTAACCAGTGTCTGGAAGGGGAAACCAAAGACTTGAAAGACCTGCCTGGCTTTGCACAGCAGAACAGCTCTCTCTCCTAACAAAGTCCTCCCAGCCCTGTGAATGAGAAGGCATCGTTGAGGACATATCTGACCTCAGTCCAGACTGAATCAGGTTGGAGCCAGATGTGCCGATGGATCAGCAAGATCTTTGCAGCAGCCTTTCTTTGGTTGTCGGTTTTAACTTCAAGTGAGTCCCTTCTTTCTTAATCTACAGTTTTTGGAGGGGATGGGAAGTATCCATTGGAGGACAGCTTTGAGATGGCTTCTTCTATTTCTGCTTCCTTTGGGATATCAAATCTCTTGGAGATCATGGGCTGGATCTAGCCCAAGTCAGACTTGTTGTAGATCCAACATCCACCACTATTTTGGACTTAAGGTAGTTATGCCTACACGAAGTCGCATGTATTCCAGTGGTATCTTAGTATCTCTTAGTATCTCTCAAGCTCCATTCAGCCCTGCAGTGTCCTCCTCATTCTCTCACCTGAGTTTGCTGGTCAAAGGATGTTGGCATTTCTTCCCTGGTCTGTGTCCTTTCTGGCATTCTTTCTCTGCTTCACAGAGCAGAGTATGTCCTGGAGAACTGTTTTTTGTTCAGCATAATCAGTGGGTTCAGTTCAGACTTAGTGATACATCAGATAGACCCATTAAAATCAATGGGATTCAGTTTAATCGCCACTGATTTTAACTGGAGCATGGGAAAATGGGAAACTAAGATATACTGAGTTAGAAGACGTGGTCCATGCGACTTGTCAACTGATGGAGAGCTGCAGTGGCTCTCTGGGGTTCAGGCAGGAGTTCTTCCAGGCTGACCTGGAGAAATGGAAGATTGACCCTCAGACCTTCTGCATGAAAAGCGGGTGTTCCTCCCCTGAGTCAAAGCCCTCCCCCAAAATAACAATTGATCCAATGAAGCGGGCTGAGGGCACAATAGACCACAATGAAGCTGCTGGCCTTTCAGTGGTCCTGAGAGTTTTCCTTTGCTGGAACAAAGTCTGGATCCCAGCCAATGTGCCCAGTTCAGTAATTTCAAGTGGGGTATTAGAAGAGTAGTTTGAACGAGAAATGTATTTGATGCTACATTTAATCATAGCAGCGAGGATTGCGCTTGCTCAATACTGGAAGAGTGAGGAATTACCCACTGAGGAACTGATTTTAAAAAAGATTCTGAACTGTGCAGAAATGGACAGATGGACTCTATTACTGAAGGAGAAAGAAGATACTGACTTCTATCAAACTTGGGACCTTTTTTATGATTGGCTGGAGAAACGAGACTTGGCTTAGATTTAAAGATGTTTTTAATTTTTTATAAATTGATTTGAATTTGATTATAGAATGTTAAAAAGATACTTTATAGGGGGCTGATGCAGTACGTCCGATGTTTTTGATGATTGATGATTTTGATGATGTGATGATTGATGTTTTTAGTTTAAAAATTTTAATAAAAATCTTTATATATATATATATAAAAAAAAGAGTAGTTTGAAAGTGGTGGTGTCCACAGTAAGTGCTCAGGATCCAGCAATGCCTTGCCGTCCATCCATTCCAAGATCCAACACTCCACGCTTCCAACAAAGGCTGGACCATTAAGTACTGCTGCAGCATTGCCTTCTTGGCCTCTTTCCATTGCCTGTCCACTCTGGTGAGCTTCTAAAATCCAGAAGGAGCCCATGATCTGAGCATGACGATACCTCCACCAGATAACTTTGCCCGCATTGCAATAACTTTGATCAGAGGTGCACCATTTGTACCTTCATGAGATGGTCTGCTCGTATTATTTTCAAGAATATAACAGCCATATTTCTCTTCTCCTCAGAAGCAACTATGGGTGAATTGGTGACCCAGACTCCACGCTTGCTCATTGTCAAGGAAGGAGCACCGTTACGCATCAATTGTACCTATGAATATGGTGGATACCCAAATCTCTTTTGGTACACCCAGCACCTTGATGGAGGATCTCTCCAGTTCCTGCTGAGAGAGGAGCCTCAAGAAAACATTCAGAAGAGAAAGGACGGGTTCTTTGCTGCTCACCTCAAAGAGGAAAAGTCCTTCCATTTGCAGAAAGAAAGCTCTGATTTGAGTGACTCGGCTGACTACTTTTGCTCCTTCTCAGCACAGTGGTGAGAACAGGAGGCGGAGCGGGTTAAAAACCAGCCGCCAAGAAGCACTGAGCTGCGATTGTTAGGACTGTCAATTCTCAGTGCTCACACCTATGCCCTTGACTATTGCTCATTGAATCTTTCAGTGTAGCTAATCGAATCTTTCAGTGTATATAATCTTTCATAATACGCATAATAATATATTATGCTCCAAAATGTACACCTTCACAGACACTGTTTCAACTTGGGTAAGCACCAACTTTCTCCACCTCAGAAAGCTTTTTGAAAACTTAACTTCCAACTCATATTCTGTAGTGTAATTTACACATAAGTAGTCCTACTGACGTGTTTCTCTAGAGCAGTGGTTCCCAAGCATCTCTGTTTTTCCTTCTTTTCCCAAGTGCTTTGCATAACATAGCAGGTTTGGAAATGAAGAGAAAGCATGTTAAATATAACAAAGAAAAGAATAAAACGATTATATGGAAATATCCCAAATGAATTCTTTTGATTATTCCCAACGCTATGCAGTACAGCCCCAGGAGTCCAATGATGTGATTCATTTTCTCGTTGGCTGCTTGGGTGCCAACTGACAACCAAATAGTTGGCCTCGCATTTTCGTTTTAAATGTTCCCAGCAATCTGCCACCACTGCTGCTTGTCAGCACTCTTGGCTGTGTGCTCCCAATTCCAACAGCATTAGCCTTACTGTGATGGTGGTCAGGGATGGTTTGGGCTTCCCCTACAGCTGGGCAGTTGGAAATGGGGTTTTCCAAACTGGGGATCCTCCAGCATGCCACGGATCCTTCCACAGAGGTCTAGCAGCCCAGAGCCAGTAGCCTCGTGGAGTATTTTTTTAATAAGTACTCGTGGAGTATTTTAATTAAATAATCAATAATTACTTGTGGACCACTATGAAAAGGGATCCTTTGTGGAACAGTTTTCTGATCCTGTTTTTTACTATCTGCACAGGGCAAGAAGAATTACAGTTCCACAGTGGATCCCTTTTCATAGGCTTTCTAGAATCACAGAGTAGTGGAGTTGGAAGCGGCCAAGAGGGCCATCGGGTCCAACCTCCTGCTCTTGCAGGGCACTAAGTTACACCATCCCATTCAGATGACTCTCCAAACGCATTCTGAATGTCTCGAGTGCAGAGCTCACAACTTCCCCAGGCTGTTCTCAAATTAATTTTATATGACCTGTCCTCCGTGGCTGGCTGGAGGATTCTGGGAATTGTAGTCCAACCCATTTGGAGCACACCAGGTTGGAAAGGCGTTATCTAAATCATTTTGGCTTTTATTCATTGGAGGGCACTAGAGAGGATAAATTTTGGACGGTCAACAGTGGAACTTGTTCTCATCACATCACCTTCCCCCACTCCAAACTAAACGCAGTTGGGAGGAGAGAGAAATAGAAATCGAGCAAATAGCTTGTAGGAAAAATTCTCTGACCCCTTCCCTATATGGCCCCAATCCATCACCCATGGGGCACCTAAAAAGAGGCAAGCGAGCAAGCACCCACGGTGTGAAATCACAGATTACCTGCCTGACATTCTGAAGACAGAAGGAAGATCCAGGGTGATCTTGCTAAACTTGAACACTGGACTGAAAGCAACAGAATGAGATTCAATAGGGACAAGTGCCAAGTCCTCCATTTAGGAAAAATCAACCAAAGGCATCAATACAAGATGGGGAATACGTGGCTCAACAGAACTGAAAAAGAAAAAGGTCTTGGAGTAATTGTGATAGGCTAAACATGAGACAACAATGTGATGCAGCCGCCAAAAGGGCAAATGATATTTTAGGATGCATTAATAGAAGTATTACTTCCAAATCACGAGAAGTAGCAGTTTCCCTATACTCCTCACTAGTCAGACCTCATCTGGAATATCGTGTCCAGTTCTGGACACCAAGATTTAAGAAAGATGCAGGGAAATTAGAAAGGGTATAGTGGAGGGCAACAAAAATGATCCAGGGTTTGGAAACACTGCCCTGTGAGGAGAGACTGAGAGAACTGGGCATGTTCAGCCTTGAGAAGAGAAAAGTGAGGGGGACATGGTAGCACTTTGTAAGTACCTCCAACGCTGTCACAAAGAGGAAGGTCAAGATCTCTTCTTACTAATGTCAGAGTGTAGGACATGGAATAATCAATTCAAGCTGCGACAACCCAGATTCAGGCTGGACATCAGGAAAAGCTTCCGCACTGTCAGAGCAACACAACAGTGGAACCAGCTGCCCAGAGAGGTGGTGGGCTCTCCCACTCTAGAGACATTGAAAAAGAAATTGGACAGCCACCTGAGTGGGATGGTGTAACTTGGTGTCCTGCAACAGCCAGGGGTTGGACCTGATGGCCTTCATGGCCCCTTCCAACTCTACTCTTCTATGATGCTATGATTTAGGACTTCTCTCCATGAGGTGTTTACTGTCAGTTCAGGATTCCTCACTCTGTGGTGACCCAGTGCCCATGGGCCCGGGTACCCGTAGCCAGCCCTGGAGTCTAGCAACCTCTCAGTCCCTACATACGCCTGGCCCCTTGGGAGTGTGCTCTCAGGGATCCCACTGGGATCTCTTGGACTGCGCTTCTTTCCAGCCCTCTTGAATTTGCAGGGGAGAAGATTTTGCTCTGCAGATGGTGTGCAACCTGGTTTTGTGATCACAAATGTGGCACAGTGTTTGGTGATCCTCTGTCCTTCCGCTCTTACAGTGCTCAGTCTGAGTTTTGGTGAAAACAGAAGAAAAGAATCAGACAAAACGCACAGAACCAGAAAAAGCACCGGCACTTCAGAGCACAAAGCCACAAGCGATGTAAAGTAGCAAATAAAGTAGAAAAACACACTCTGGTTAGGTACAGCTCTTTCTACAAGATTCCTTAAGAAGCTGAGGTCTCTGCAGAGTAATTCCTATGGTGCCTGGATCAGGCCCTCCCTCTCTTTTCAGGTGACCGATGTGCTGGGAAGAATTGACGGCAAAAGGAGAAGGGGATGGCAGAGGATGAGGTGGCTGGATGGAGTCACTGGGGTGGTGGGTGTGAGCTTCGGTGGACTCCGGGGGATGGTGGAGGGCAGGAGAGCCTGGAGGAATGTTGTCCATGGGGTCAAGATGGACTGGGCCCGACTTTGTGACTAAAAACAACAACAACAAATATCCAACCTTGTGTACTGAAGCAAGGACCTCTACCTTCCTTTCCTTTGGGCTTCCCCACACCTGGATAGAGATCCCCAAAATAACCATTATTATCATTCCATTGCATTTCTATCCCACTTCTTTCCTCTGACGAAGAACCCCAAGGCAGCTTCCATAGTTCTCTCCCCAATATTTTTATTATAGGTTTGATCGTCCTGCAGATCTCAAAAGCAGGTGCGAGGCCTCCTTTCTCCACCAGATGGCCCTAGAGAAGACTTCTTTCTCGGAGGATGCTTCGTACTCCCCAAGTCCGTCTTCGAGCACACACAACAGGGCTTGGTGGAGCTCAGAAAGATACAGCCTTCGCATCTCTGCTTTTGGGAATTTTCTGCCTATCCATGACCTTCGAGGCAGTCTCAGGAGCTTTGCTCATTCCGTGGAAGATTATCTTTGGACTACTTCTCCTATGTAAGTGCGAATGTTAGAAATCTTTGCCGTGAGGAGCAGAAAAAAAAAGCTCTTCGACTTTTGCATTAATTTGTCTGTCCCATGTTGTTAAAATGTGGATAAGGAAATTCTAGTAGCAACACTAGTAGTATTGCTGCAGCCATTATCACTATGAGTACTATAAATAAC